ACAAAGGTTTGGAGTCTTTTTCAGTTCCCTTCTCAAAAAGTTACCTCTTTACTTTTTACTTAGCAACGGCTTTTATTCATCTTAATTGTATTTGCCAATCTGCGTCCTCGCGGTTACTAAGCAACAGTAGAGTCACGGATGGTCCGAAGGAAAGAAGATGAAACATGGATGGAATATATCTACTGAAACGCATCAGCAGGACCTCACAGCGCAGACTGACGGACGCGGGACGGACAGACGGGGCACCGCCGACACGCTGCTGGTGTTTATTACACGGAACCTGTATTTGCTCATAGAGTTTGATGAGCAGAGATTCGCACCTGAAGGACAGACGAGTTAATCGGACTCCCGGAGGAGAGCGATGCATCTCAGGAGGCTTTCTGAGGGTCCTCAATTATTTAAGTAGTTATTTGAGTCACAACCGACTGAACAAAGAGAAGAGAAACACAACGAGGCCCAAATGTTCTGAACCAGCAAAAGGAAAAGTGACTTCTAGTAACACCGCCTACACACACACACACACACACACACACACACACACACACACACACACACACACACACACACACACACACACCGCCTACACACACACACACACACACACACACACACACACACACACACACACACACACACACACCGCCTACACACACACACACACACACACACACACACACACACACACACACACACACACACACACACCGCGCACACACACACACACACACACACACACACACACACACACACACACCGCATACACACACACACACACACACACACACACACACACACACACACTCACACACATACAGATGCACCGCACACAGACACACACGCACACACACACACACACACACGCACACACACAGACACACACACGCAGTGAGGCTAGCAGGAAGTTGCCAGCTGATGAGGACAAACAGCCAGAGCGTCTCTTTCGTTGTTTATTTTCGGTGTCTTTCTGGTGTGTGTTGTGGTGTGTTTGTGTGTGTGTGTGTGTTGTGGTGTGAATGTGTAACCTTTGTTTCTTTCTGTGTTAGTTTGTGTGTGTTTGCAGCCGATCGGCGTGATGGACCTCACGGGGTTTACGTGGAGGACTGAGGTCTGGCCGTGCAGGACACGTGGTGTCTCACAGGAGACGGCTCCACGTGGTCCTCACCATGTGTCTCAGCCTGGTGATCAAGGTGAGGATCGAGGGGTTCGACTACGTGATGTTCGCTACATCGGAGGATGGGAGGTGTTTCCGTTGTGGTGGAGAGGGACACCTGGCGAGGGTTTGTCCAGAGAAGAACTCCTCCACTCGGGGGAGGAAGCCCGGCCGGTCGGTCAGGGGGGTTGAATGTGGTCTTGTGTCTGACGGAGTGAAAGGAGATGGGTGGGGTCCAGCAGGCGGGTCGGGGGAGGGAAGGTGAAGGAGTTCGGGGGGCGCTCATTGGTGGGATGGACATCTCGGACAACGAGGAGGGCATGGAGGAGGGGGGGCTTTAAGAGGAAGAACCTGAAGAGGAAGACGAGGGGCAGCAGAGGAGCTCTGCCGCCAGCATCTCCTCAGGTGGGACGGCCACCAGCAGGTACGGGGGCGGGGCATGTGAGAGTTCCTGCAGGCTACAAAGAACAAGAGAGGAGTGAAGCTGGAGGACGACTTCTCCAACGTGGAGAAGTTCTCTCGCTCTGCTCCACTTGGCGGCACCAAGAAGGACGCTGGAGACGTCACCCAGCAGGAGATTTTCAGGCTGAGGATCCTGAGTGGAGGGGCGGCACTGACGGAGAAGGAGATGCTGGAGTACGGAGGGGTCTAGATCGACTACTGATTAATTGATTATACCATATAGGTATATATATATATATTAAGAACCGCACATCTCGCGGGTGGAGCCATCCTCACATGGATGTTTGTCAATAAGTAGGACGTGGTTTGGCGGTACTCACGTCTCCGTCCTGTAGGAGGAACACCTCTCCAGCGGGATCTTCAGGACTCGGTCGTTGAGCCCGACAAAGAGCGACCTGTCGCTGTGCAGGATCTGCAGACTGAGGATGGGCTCTCGGGCCCCCGCAGGGAGGACCTCCATCTCCTCCAGGTAGCAGCCCTGGAGGTTCTTGTTGGGCGTAGCCAGCGCCTTCAGGATGGTGCCGTATTCTGATTGGACGAGAACGTCAGACATCAGAAAGGTCTTGTTCAGGCAAACGTTAAAAATAAGTGTATCTTTCTTCTGGGAAAAAGTCAGCAAAACTAAAATAAAATAAGAATAATAAAATGTTTTCTGTAGTTTAATCATGTTTGCTTAACATTAAACTCCCAACACGAAGCAAACAGGATTTCAGTGTCTTGAGAGTTTTTTCTGATGCTGATTTAGAAGAATGTTCTATGAGATCTGTCTGTTAATGTGGATCATCATTCACGTTTGTGTATTTGTATCTGTACCGACCCGTGCTGATGTACATGACGTGGTACAGCGTGTCCATGCCCTGCACGATGTCCACCACCAGGCTGGAGAAGCGCACGTCGTCCTGCATGACGAGCGGGTCGGTGGACTCGGGCTGCACCACGTCGTTCATCAGGTAGAGCCGCTGGGCGTCCTGCAGGCTGCGCTCCGTCAGACCCTCGTTGGGTCCCTTGTCCTCGATGGT